AGCACTAAAAAGTGGCTACCCATACAATTCAGCTCAGAATTCTCAGCTGAGAACTGTCTACTGAAGTTATGACACCATAAGCCCAAAAGCATTGCAGTCATGGCACTCACCTGACAGATGTGTTTTGAAATACTCTCTGATTTGGAAAAGGGACTCCCACATCCCAAGAGAATGCCCTGGCCCCTACACTACCAAGCATTCTGTGATGAGGTGGTCTCAGTCTCTCCTGCTGCAACTGTTCCACTTTGTATATTGGCTGTCCTGGGACACTCAAGCACACCAATCTGCTGGGGTGGTGGGGGGAAGTGGAAGCCTCATCTCCAATTATTTATTGTGTAAACCCTAAACACACAGACATGTTCAGACAACACCCACTGGGATCAGGCCCTACAGACAAGATAGAGGATCACCTGATTTGAGAATCCCATCAGTGCTTGCCTGTGACTGGGGCTAGGTACAGAGATTACATTTAATGCATGTTAAGCACACAGAAGGTGCTTTAAAGTCATAACAGAACAGCAGTTCGCAGCACTTTAAAGCATATAAAAAATGGCGGATCCCACTCTAAGTTAATCCTCAATGGATGTGGTATTAGACTAAAGCGCTTTAGGTTAGAGCGCTTTTTTACACATCAGTACCACATCTGAGCCAGGTCTTCAAGAAGCATGTATTGACATGACTTTGATGATTCTGCCAGTGAGCATGAGCACATACACAGGCACCTATCAGACTAGACAGTGAAAGAGTAGGGTTTTGAGGATTTTGGGTGGCATCTAACATGTTGGGCTCAAGCCCACAAACTGGTACTTAAGCAACCAAGACCATTGATAGATTTAGCCCCTTCAGGCATTTTGTCAATTGACACAATATTTTACCTTTATTCTGGACAAAGGTGTCAAAATTAACTTGAATTATTTGGTTTTCCCCTGTGGTAACCTGGTATTAAAAAGGTTTGTAGATACAGGAAAACAGATATGCAATAGCTTAATTTTAGTGTGTAAGGTTTTCTATGTAATTACCATAAGGGATAGAAACTTCCACTTTATGAAAATACTCATACAATTTTCATGAGAACCTGAAGATGAAGGTAAGAAAATAGGCTGGACATTTTATCTCCCTGAAAAGAACAAATGTGCTGCTTTTTCTCTATCTGGAATTGCATACCATCCCCAAAATTGTTGTTGAATGATAACCTATCTTTTCCACTTACACTAATTATGAAGGTCTGCAAAAACAAAACTAGCATCCTCTCTTATCTTTTAAATATTTTTCAACATTTACTTTCTCTCACAACATACACACTTATTCCAGGAATGGTATACTGTTTTTGATCATTATCGACGGATAAACTGTGTAGTGTCTGACTTAATAATGGGGAATGAGTACTACTTCCGAGTCTTCAGCGAAAATTCATGGGGACTGAGTGAAACTGCTGCAACCACCAAAACTCCTGCCTATATCCAAAAAACAGGTAACATATTCTTAAAATAAAGAGCTCATTTAAAACATATTCTTAAAAAAAGGGTTTCTTGTGGGTAAACCACAGATCGCAAGATGAAAAATACACTACTTAGGGAAGCAAAACAGAATAACTGGGCACCATCTTAGAGATATTTTCGTTACTTAACGCTTCACACTTACACAGAGCATTTAATCTTTGAGACTTGCTGTGCAATTAGTGTGGCATGGTTCTGTGTTGTTGCTACCCACACATCTTCATAAATTGTGAATCAGGCCTCAGAAGTCATGATTATAAAAAACAGTGGGTCTGAGGGTCTATATTAGCTTTCAGGGATTTTAATTTATTCATTCAAGCTTTTGCATGCAACCGTAAGGACTACAAATCCCCTTTTTCAATGAAAGCTGGAAGTCACAGTTGCATGGCTACAGTAGTGGAAGCTTTTACAAAAAACATAAAACATGAGACACACTAATTTAGGAGATTTGGCAGTATTAGTGTTTTAACTTTACTGCTTTCCTAAAACTGCACAGGTAAATTACAATTACAATTAGATTGTGTTCAACAAGGCAAGGTTTAAGAATTAGTCCTTAGTAAACTATTTTGTTTGTTTGAATTTCAGGCACCATTTATAAACCACCCAGTTACAAAGAATATGACTTCTCTGAACCCCCCAAATTCACTCACCCCTTAGCAAACCGCTCTGTGATTGCAGGCTACAATGCTACACTCAGCTGTGCTCTCAGAGGAATTCCTAAGGTACAGATTACACTGGCTGTCATTTATATGATTTATAATGAACCAAAGACCTGCTATAAATACCAAAATATTTGTATCAACTTGGTATAATTGTATATTATTATTACTGGTCTAAATTGCACAGGACATTGGTTTATACTTTTCCTTGGCACACAGGAAAAATAGTGTTTGTATAACTCAAGCATCAATCAAAAAAATACATTTTACTGGACTTATCTACATGTGCTATTAATTTGTAGAAGGCTTACTGCACAGTAAAATTCAAAGTAAATCTTTCTGGGAGCATGTCTATATGTGCTCCCACTTGGGAACAGATTTGCTTCCAATGGGAGCAGCCTGGTACACCTGCAGCAGCCTGGGGAACTCCAGGCTCCCCTGGTCCTACCCTGAAGCTGGCAAGGGGCATGGGGCCAGTCCTAGTTGGCACAGGGCCAAGAGAGCTCTGCTGGCTGCAGTGGCAGCTGTCTTCTGGCCCCATGCACACTGGGAGGAGACCTGACATGCACAGAGCCAGGAGAGAGCTGCCCCTGAAGCAGGCAGAGCTCTTCTGGCATTGTGCCCATCAATACACACAGCTGCCAGCAAGCCCCATGCTGGGCAGGGTTTCCCTGCCCAGCAGGGGGTTATTGGGAGCTGTTCCCGTGTGGGGCAGCTGCCAATGAGCCTCCTTCCAGGCAGGGGGGCACAGGGCTTGCTGGCAGCTGCCCTGCTTGGCACGGAGCTATCTGCTTGGGGGAGTGGGTGGGGGCTGGGAATCCAGTCTTCTCCTGTCCCCCAGAACAGCTGTGTGTGGCTGGATTCCCAGCCACCGTGTGCAGCACGGAGCTGCTGCAAGGGATAGGCAGGATTCCCAGCCCCCAATTGCCCTCCCAAGCTACCAGCTCCATGCCAGGAGCTGAGACAGGGGGCAGAGAGCTCCCCATTCCTGGCACTGATTGGCTTCCAGTTCCTGGGGGGAGCCGGAGAGCTAAGCAGTGCCACGACTGGGGACAGAGAGCTCCCTGTCCCCTGTGGCCCCCAGCTGATGAGACTGACTGAAAACAAAGAGCATATCTGCTCTCAGTCAGCATCTACACAAGTTTCATAGTTTCGTAGTTGGTAGGGTCGGAAAGGACCTGAGGAGATCACCTAGTCCGACCCCCTGCCACAGCAGGAAAGAGTACTGGGGTCAAACGACCCCGGCCAGATGTTTGTCCAGCCTCCTTTTGAAGCCCCCCAGGGTAGAAGCCAGCACCACATCTTTTGGAAGTTGGTTCCAGATCCTAGCCGCCCTGACAGTGAAATAGCACTTCCTAATGTCTAGTTTGAAACTACCCTCCGCTAGCTTGTGATCATTGTTTCTTGTAACTCCCGGGATTGCTCAGGGGAACAGAGACTCTCCCAATGCCTGCTGGTCCCCCTTGACTAGTTTGTAGACTGCCACTAGATCCCCTCTCAGCCTTCTCTTTTGGAGGCTGAACAGGTTCAGGTCCCTCAGCCTCTCCTCATAGGGCCTGCCCTGCTGACCCCTGATCATGCGGGTCCTTTGGACCCTCTCCATATTGGCCACATCCCTCCTGAAGTGCGGCGCCCAGAACTGGATGCAGTACTCCAGCTGCGGCCTGACCAGTGTCACATAGAGGGGGAGGATCACCTCCTTGGACCTGCTTGAGATGCATCTGTGAATGCACGACAAGGTATGGTTGGCCTTCCAGACCGCGTCCCCACACTGTCGGCCCATGTTCATTGTGGCATCAATGATGACTCCAAGTGTTATCGTACAGTGGGCATGTCTACACATGCATTTATGCCAGCTTCAATTTACTACATAATAAATTACTGCACAGTAAGCAGGAACAGGCCAGTGTCTACATATGCATTAGTACACAGTAACTAATTGGGCGTAAATTTGTTACTTGCATGATGCAGGTATCAAATTTATGCTCAAGTTGGCGTAAGTCACCATATTTACTGCTCAGTGTGGGCACGCATGTGTAGATGCGTGCCCGTACTGTGCAATAATTTCAGTTACTACACAGTTAATGTGCACGTGTAGACACACTCAGTATCTACTGCACAGTTAGATACTACCTGTAAATACAGCTAGTAAACTAACTGCACAATAGACTAATTTACTGCACAGTAAACATGTGCGCAAGTAGACGGTGATGTTTTACTGCTCAGTAGACTCTACTGAGCAGTAAAGCATCTCATGTAGACACACCCACTGAGACAACATGACACCTAAGATTTTACACACCCAGGTACAAAAGTTGAAAAATTAAATTTGTTTAATGTGATGTCACCTCTGCTCTCTTGCATCTCTTCATTACAACTGTGTTTCAGAACAGGAAAGCTCAATGAAACATGCTATTCACTTAATGGTGTAAAATGGAGCTCCATTTTTTTTTATTGCCTACAGTTTACCTATCTAACTTTTTGTGTTTTTGGATGTATATTGTGTGATCAAGCAATATGACATTCTGTTGTAGCATACATATCAACGAGGAAATGTAAAAAAAACTCACCCAAGGAATATTTGAGAGGCAGGGATTTCTTAGGGTAATATCTTTTACTGGACCAATTGCGTAGTTGAGATGAATTCGAAAGCTTGTCAAACTACGACATTCTTCATCAGGTATTGATTATGGGCACTGACAGACACACAGCTCCCCACTGTAACTCATGGCACTTGAAGGAAGTACCATGAGTTACAATGATCCCCCAGACTCAACAGATGTCTGCTTTTGGGTCAGGCGGGTTGAGGGATTAAGCTGCAGTTTGGAGTGGTGGCAAGTCTGCATCTGCTCTCCCCTAGACCTGTCCCTCCCCACTCCCAGCCCAGCAATGTCTTCAGAATGGGAGGGGGGATAGAGAGCAGAAACAGCTCAGTCTTCAATTTGCCCAGCCTGTGGTGGAGGGTGGGATGCATGGATTGGAGCCCCACCCCCCCGACACCTCGGGTGCAGGCTGGGCAAACTCCAGATGGAACTCCCTCAGCTCCCTTCGCCCCCCTCCCATTCTAAAGACAACACCAGGAGCACATCTGGGCTGTGTCAGCTCATCCCTGCTCCTGATGTGGGCTGACACAAGTTAATAAAGGCGTGCCACTTTGAAGTGCCTTCATCTGAACCCTCATGTCACAGAATCGAGCCCTTTTAAAACTCTGCAGCCAGGCACTTCTGCAAGGGCACAGCTGTAGAGCACTTCAGAAGGCCAATCACACAACAAAATGTCACTTGTGTCAGTGCCCTAAAGGCCTTCAGAAAACCTACATCCACAGTACCTAAATTAAGATTAGACAGCTACAAATCTTTCATTTCATAAGTTTTGTTTAAAAGTGCTAATTTTCGTGTCCTTCAGCCAAAGATCTTTTGGTACAAGAATAAAGTAGATCTCTCCGGAGATGCCAAGTACCGTATGTTCAGTAAACAAGGAGTGTTGACCCTGGAGATACGGAAACCCACTCCATTTGATAGCGGCTGTTACACCTGCAAAGCTGTTAATGACAGTGGTGAAGCTGAAATAGAGTGCAGACTGGATGTCAGAGGTAAGAAAATGAATTCTTAGACAAAATTCCCTCTAAAAGAAATGGATGATAAATTTCACTAAAAACTGTGGCTGCCCTTCAAGCAGAAACAGTTGATAGCTGAAGACAGAACTTTAAGTCAATTTAATAAGTGCACAGAAAAAAGTAAAATTATGTTTTTCAAACTGATGTACAGCTATCATTACACTCATGTTGTGAATGTTCTAGATGTGTGCCTACATTTTGTTCTTATTTTGCTTTAGTTTCACGTCTTTATTTTTTCATGCCAGTTTCTCCACTGTCTCATTGTCTTTTACCTCTTTTACTTCCTCCAGCACCTCAGTAAAACTCACCAGGTTGGTTCAACAGCAAGTAAAGGTATGAATTGAGCTTCCTTGATTAAAACAATGAGTTAGCATTGGATAAAAGAATGATGAACAAGTAGTTGGACAGTGATCCATGCCGAGTTATTCATTTAATTCAACAGTTTAGTGGTTACTTACAAGTTAATTTTTCAAGATAGTTCAATTAGATGCTACAGAGTACCTTAAATAGACTTATATTTAAATCTCAAGGAGCTTAGACAAATTGTAAACTATTTGTAAGAGAGAGAGGGAAGTTGTCAGAATAATGAAATGGCCCCGTGGTAATGCTTCTTCTTAAATTTCCTCAAAGCTTTCTGTCTAAGAGAGTGGGGAGGCATGTATGCCGTTTATTAGCACAAATCTAATATGTGACAATAATTCATATGCTTTAATATAAAATCATTTTCTTTCAATTAAAAAAGTGTCATTCTTATATCTAAAAGTGTGTTATGTTCTTTAGACATTTTTTAAATAAAATACATCATCAAACATATCTGTTCATGACACTCAAACTACCTCTCCTCTTTCTGTCTCAGAGAGTATGAAGAATGGAACTTGAAAAGGAAGAAACAAATACAGGATAATCTTAGATAGACATAATTCTTTGCTTATTTTTAAATGCCATTTAGTGAGTGTGTATTTGGAAGAGGGATGCAGGTATTGGGTTTAGATTCTTACACAGTATATGTTGCTCTTTCCAGAAAACCATTTAAATAGTACTGGCCCTCAGGATCATATGTAGAAATGCAAGGAAAGGGAAAAGATATTTCCTTATAAGTATGGATCATCTTTTAGGTCAGAAACATTAAACAGTAGATAAAAGCTCTAGATACAAACAATTAGATAGGAAGTCCGAAATTCCCTAATGCTAAAATAAATTCTATCCATTTCAGCTTATTAGTTATTTTCAAAATTCTGAGATTTCTGACAGGGCACTCAACTGCTCAGAAACATAAAATATAGTAAAATCTTAACTGGTTATTCATACTGGTGCTTCAACTTTCATCATATCAAAGCCTACATGCAAGAGACTGCCTTCCTCTTTCAAACTCCAATAGCCAGCTCTACTGGGTCCATACAAGTATTAATTTTTAAAGTGTCTAGAGATCCCTGCTTGTCCAAAATACAGTTTGAGAATACTTGCTCTTTGCTTACTTGTATAACATTGTCTCTGTTAACTATTCACTAATCTTCTCATTTGGAAAAACACAACAACATAAACCTCTTTTTGTTTTTAGATGCGTCTTCAGCTGAATCACAGACCTCATGAAAAAAATTTAAATTTGAGTTAGTTTGTATTTGTATTAGGCAGACCACTGAAAGATAGAGTTAGTAAGCTATTTGCAAACATAACATTTCAAAAGACAAAGCTTGTCATGAATTCCATAAAAAACTTATTTTACCTTGTATCACCTTAGATTTTTTCATCATTTGGAAACTAGTTTTACATATGTATCCAGAGGTTATGTTTTCAGTTGACTCTTTGAGTTTCCATTAAAAACAAAAATAAAATATAACCCTCTTCCTCCTGGGAAGTCTCCTGCTTACCACTTCCTACCCCTTTTCAGCCTACAGTAATTGTTCTAAGTCCCTTGCTTAACATTACTCTTTTTGTATGTTGGCATAACAAGAGAAGATATTTCTCAAAGAATCAACATGAAGAAATTGAAGTAACACACAACACTCATAATTCTCCCCTCTGAGATATTCAACTGTTAATGGCTTAGTATTTCTAACACAGCAGATAGATTATGTTACACTGTGGAATACCCCTTCATAATAAAGACACCTGTGCAATGAATGCTGGATTATGCTGTATTTTATTTACACAGCAGAACAGAGGGATGAATAAATAATCAAACATTCTTCTAAAACTAGACATGCCTTTTTTATGTGGGCATTTATCTGCTATAAAATGTATTGCCATTCACTGGAGTATATCAGAATATGTAAGTGGAAATATAAGGGAAAGTACTTGCAACATTTTCCCCTATTTTATAACCAATTCTATTTTTAATTTTTTAACATATCGAACACCATATGTATACATAAAAAGTATGTTCAGTATCATAGACAGCTTATTACCTGAACAATATAGCAGAATTAGGTGATCACCCATGGCATCTGTGTTGACAACATCTGCAGAAAAGTAAGGGACTGACTTACAATGCCACAGGTTTATATAGCACCTTTTTAATCTGAAAAGAGTTGTGTTTTACAGATTATATCTTAATATCTGAAGGGCTCTTTGAATAATTATTGCTATGGAGACATCGTAGGCCTTCACACGTTATTTTAATGTAGGACTAAAAGAGAACACAAAACTTATATTCCTAAAGATGATGGAGTTTTCCATGAGGCAAGGATTTCTTAGGGTAATATCTTTTATTAGACCAACTGCATAGTTGGAATAGAGTTAGATAAGCTTTCAAATGCAAGACATTTTCATCAGGTCTGACCAGAAGGAGACAAGCAAAGAATAGTAAAGAACACTATTACATTCCTGGCTGTTAAATGTATTTAAACTACACTGAGGGTAGTTCACTTACTGCAAGTGTGATTAACAGTGGCACAAAGTGATTCAACTTGATGTCTTCATCAAAGAAATCTTTGTCCTTATGCTATATACTCATGAAATTCCAGTATGCAAATACTATTAGAATAAAAAAATAAAATCAGCAACAGCATACTGCATTTACATGCATACAGGATAAGTGCATAATTCACTTACCTGCATAACACAGTATTAATGCATATTGCTTGATTACAACACTTCCAGGTACCTGTGTATCAGTTAAATGTATAAACTGACTAAGTGCATATCATTTTTTAGCCTGTCTACTTTCAGCCTTGAAACTACCAGATACAACAGCACTGACAAAGCCATTAGCAATGCTCATCAAGTACTGTACTGGTTAATTGCTTAGTAACTGACTACTTTTTAGCTAATTGTGCTCCCTTTAACTGCATCAGAAACAGTGAAAAGGAAGCAGCTGTCAAAAGGCTGCTATTAGACTTAAAAATGACAGGGGCTAATCAGTTTCATGGCCATTCTCTCACCTCATTTTCCAGGCTTGTAATTATTAGAAACCTCAAAAATGAGGAGAGCTAGTCAGTGTCTGGACACCTAATGCCACAATATTGACAGTACCATGTAAGTGAGAAGTATTGCTTACAGTGCTGTCAGTGCTCTGGTATTAGCAGCTCCAGAATTAACTAGTTTTCTGGGTGTTCATAGTTTCTAACACTTGTAATCAAAACTGGTATTAGACCCTTGAAAACATGCAGGCAACAGCCTTGAAACTGCCAAATACAACAGCACTGACAGAGCCATTTGCAATGCTCATCAAGTACTGTACTTTCTCTTACACAACATGCACATTTTTCAAAAAAATCAGCCACCAGAAATTGGGGTTCATACTTAAGCAAGAAAATACAGTAATAGCAGCTTCTGCAACAGGAGCTTCTGCTGGGAGAAAGAGAAAAGACTACTGCACATGCTGCACAAAGGACAACACGGTGAATAGGCAGGGCTAGCTAGCTGCTGGCTATGGACAGGAGAAGCCCTGCAAGCCAACTTTGCTGCCTGTGCGCAGTATTACTATCCCTTTCCCTTGGCAGAAGCTCATGCTGAAGAAGCTGCTACTAACACAGCAGGACCCTCTGCCCTAGCACCTGGGGCTTGGCTTTGCTGTATTTCTAAAGCAGAGCCAAGCCCTGGGTGCTGGGACAGAGC